ATTACAGCCTAGGAAACCCTATAGGGCAGTTCTACTCTGTCCTAGAGTGTCACTCAGTATATACTGAGTTGGAATTCACTTAATCACACACAATTAAAGCTCTACAGAGGTTTTAACTAAGGTGATGTGAAGAAACTAGATTGTGTGGACTGGTAAGGTCCCTTTGAAGGTGCGATGTTTAAACTAAAACCTGAAAAGAAAAAGAAAGAAAATGAACTAGCCATGCAAATATAAAGGGGAACAAATTCTAGGCAGAGGGACAAGCTACTGCAAAGGCGACCAGGTTTTTCGTTCATTTGTTATGTTTTTTTAAGGACCTTTACGTAGAGGGTGAAGGAGAGTGGTAGGATACTGGCTTGGAGAGGTTGTTGTTACGTGCCGTTGAGTCGGACCCGACTCATAGCGACCCTTCCTTGGGTTGCCGAGGCAGTATCACTACGTAAGTAGATTGCCCAACCTTCCTTCTGAGGAGAGAGAAGTAGGAGGGTTCAACTCATTTCTATTTGCCACTTTAATTATGAGGGATACCCATATTTAAATAAATTGCATTTAGACCGGTTATGATGTGTGCCCAAAAGATCAAGTAAACAGATGTGAGTGATAGATCTCACCATATGCTCGAGTACGGGAGGTATCATTCATATTCTGTAATGTTGACGTTTTAATCTGCTGCCTTGTATTAAAGCTAATGTACTTTTTTTCCCCTCTTAAGCTATATTGTCACTTTCTGAAGATCAGAGGAGACATCTATCTCCTATAGTCCCTGGTGCAGTTCAAGTCCTAAATAATACAATATACAATTTAAACATTATGTCAGAAATCTGTGCTTGCTCACTTCTGAATCTCATGCTTCACATTTTGTGGGAAGTGAAAATCTATAAAGCCTTACTATCCACCTATAATTATTTGTAATACTTGAACTTCTTGAGATATAAAATTGACACAAACAGTTCAGTATGTATCCAAAGGGTGCCAGCCACAAGCCAGACTGAAGAGACGGTTTGTATGGTTTGTGACACCCTATCTCCCGTTCTGTATCTTTTCACTCTAATTGGCTCTGTTCTCCAGGCCAACAAGGTCTTCCACTTGGTAATACTTTTGGTTGCATAAGCTCGATATTATCCTTTCCTCCCTATCAAAACGTTATCTTCTTACTTTCAAATCCCAGGACCCTATTATCCATGGTAACCTGAGCTCTGATCCTTTAATCTGAACTAATGCTTCAATGGGACTGGCGAACATAGAGCTCCTTTTACAGTTAGGCAGTTCGGCCCACTTACTCTTTCAAGTCTGTTTCCCATGTTTTTTTCCTTCTCACAGGCAAGCTCCAGGGACATGGCCTGCCTAACCCAGCAGTCACGGAGTCAATTCCAACTCACGACTCCATGCGTGTCAGAGTGGAACTGTTCAATGGCTGGCTTTTCGGGAAGAGGATCTCCAGGCCTTTTTAAAGCTCCAGCCTTCTGGCCAGCAGCAGTGTGTGTCAACTCTGCATCACCCAGAGACTCCTACTTCTTCTTTTCAGACATCATCCATTTACCCTATTTCTAAGAAATATTTCATCTATGCTGGCTTTGGGAAGAATGTTCTTAGATATCTAGTGAAAAGGCCTGTGGCAATTTGGAAACAATGATTGTTTTTCTGACTTTCCTTTATATTTTTATCCTGTCTCTGTAAACACAACCAAATAGAGATGTGTTATAGAACAGAATTTGAGAAAGAATACTGGCCAAGGCCACGTCTGTACTGCATTGCAGTACTATTGCTCAAAAAAGTTTGAACGAATGGAGTCAAAGCTTGATTCCATTTTTTTTGCTACCTTTTATAATCAGTGAATTTATATTTAGCTTGCATTTTTTTAAAGGGAGATGAACAATAGATTCCTCTTTTCCACAGTATGTTTATAATTTGCTAAATTTTTTTTTTTTTTTTTTTTGCTGTGTTTGAACATTTTTTGCCTTCTGCTCTGTTTTGGGGAAACAAATTAAGTGATATAAATAGGATAAAGCTGTAGGATCAGTAGGCAGTAATCCCAATGACAGGTATTAAATACCTATAGATAACTGTCTTCTCCATTAGATCATAAGCTCCATCAAAGCAGAGGCCTGTGACCAACCAGATCCTTGCTGTCTCCCCAGCATAGAGGTAGAGTTCACATATTTGCTCCATGAAGAACTCCTGTCCATATTTGAGACTGCCTTTTGCTACCCTGAAATAGATGGCATATTTAACTAAATTATCACTGACAAAATTAACTTTCCAAGGAAGTAGAGTATGATATGGGTGACACATAATAAATCAGAATGTATGCTGTGGCCCTGGTTCTGCCATAAAAAGCATGGCAATGTATGGCAATGGGGAAGTCACTTGACCTCTCTGGGCCTCAGTGAATATATTTATGAAAATAAGAACTTAACTAGATGAAACCCAGTTGGGAAATTGTAAAATGAATTCAAGTTCTAACTAAATTGTTTGCTAATTTTGAAATCACTTAATGGAATACTTAAGTCAAAGACAACAACACTTTCAGTTTACAAGTAATAAACAAAGAATATTAGAAAATTTAAAATTTTTAATAAATGTGCTTTGCTCACAAAATGTGAAAAAATACAAACACAAACATACATTTTCTGTTATGCCACCTCCCCAATGTGGCAATGATGGTATAAACCACTTGATCTAGTCATGATCCTGAAGAATACAACCAAAGAGCCATCATTTGTTTCTGAAACACCAAATTATTTTGGAGAATCCTGCTGTCAGTGTGACAGGAGGCCCCTCAACTTCTTTATATTCAAATGAAATCATTCTTTAGAGTACCCATATAGTATTAGGAGGTCCCATTAACTTTTCTTGTCATTACATATATAATCTGTCACCAAGCCTCGTAACTGCTTATATTTTCAACACTTACACACTGAATTGGCTTTGGTGGTATATGTACTCATTTAAATCCTGTGCCAACCTAAACTGAATAAGCTGAATTTACAGTAACAAACAATATTTATAAATCCAAATAAATTTATACTAAGTGGTAATAGGTTTTATAAAGAGATTTTTCTTTAAAGTACTACTTAAAATACATCATGCACACTTTGGAGCATAAGCAGAATCGACATCTGTAAACAATCAGAAGAATTTATAGCACCAACATTTTAGCTGTAACAAAAAGGCTAACTCCAAGGTCACACTTACACTAACTCCTCAAAAGCACTGTTTTCATTTACTTTCAAAGCACTTTCATTTGATACTTTCATCGCTTTCTTTGCTATTAATGTTACATTTAGGCAAATCAAAGACAATAAAATAGTATGTTAAAAAGGTATTATCAAAACACGGTTCTGTGTTAGCCTCAACACAGCACTTTATTCCTTTTGGGGGAGTTATAAGACATGACCCTGTAGTGCTTAACTGAAAAAGTCAATCATGGTTTTTATGGAAATCTTATGCTACTGAAAGTAAATGGAAAATTTCAGGTTATTTCTGGTATATCTGAGCAATCAATATTTATTGCATTTAGTGGAATGAGTTTTTTTGGGTTAATTACAACTTGTTCCTTTCATTCATTTAGCATGTGAAATTTAATCTGAAATAGCAAATACACATGCTAAACTTTTATGTCGTAAAGAGTAAATTTTATATTTCTAAATAAAGTTCGACATTCAAAGTTAACTACAGCAATTCACAATAAGCACAAAGACATCAGTTTTACCAGAGTAAAGAAGTGCAGTTTATGAAATTCAGGATCAACTACTTTTGCAAGTTTCCTTTAAAAAGGCACACACACACATACACACACAGACACATTAACCATGAAATCTGAAACTGTGCTATTTCAGTGCAAAAACCTCAGTATGAGGTAATTTTAATGTAATAACCACTTGAAAAAAAATCCACACAGTGGCACTCTTAAAAATGACTGTTTACATGACAATTGCTGGCTGACAAGATAATGTGTCAAAGATAAATGTTCTTAGCTGTTTAAAACCAATCTTGTCTTGTTTGGACATACATTTCTCCTTAATCATTTGCTTCTGATTCAGAAAGACAAATGACATTTCTCAATGCCAACTAATGGTTGTCCACTAATGGTTTGCTTATTGAATGAAAAATTTCTGCTAGGATTTAGATGGAAATTAGAATACCAAAGGTCAAAATCATTTTATGAGATTATCAGCAGAGGGTTAATTTTATACTTTTCTATATAATTCCAGACTTGTAGTGCAGCAGCACCTTCTTAACGGAAAGGCGAGGACTTTCTCAAATTTGGTCTAGTTAGAACATAAGCTCTCTTTACAAGTGCAAACCCTTTCACAAAGGTGTTTTAGGTCAGTATTGAGTACTGTATTGTTCCTTGCTTAAATAGAAGAGTTTGTGAATAAACCTAGAGTAAAAAAAGGTAGACGTGAACTTTCACAGATAAATATATCTAACACCGAGATCCAAAATACTACTTTGGCAATGGTGTTTATTATATTGTGCTAATGAAACTAGAATACATAATTTTGGGGAAATGTCTCTCTGTCTGATGCTGTCAAATGTGCTTTTATAACAGAAGAAAGAAGGATAAATTGAATTATCACCAATTCCAAAAAATTCAGGAAATATTGGATCATCAGCAAAAATGGCTTTCTGCTGCTGACAACAATTTAGTTGAGGGGAGTGCGGAGACAAGTGCATCATCAAGCTAAAGCAATCTCTGTGTCACGTTTAACTTGTAAGTCATCAAAGTGCAACCGTAGGCTTTCTACACATCTAAAAGTTTCCCATTGCAATGGTTTAACATCAACATTGAGAAGTTGAAGGAAAATACAGATCAAATTGTGCTTCATTTTCCATGACAGCACTGACGAGAAAAAGGTACCTTTCTACAATATCTTGGTGCTAAATGGTAAAGGATCAGTGGTTTTTGCTAGGACAGGAGTCACAGCTCCTATATAAGAATACATTTTAAAATTGAGAAGTAGAAAAAAATAGCACACTCTGTAAACTTCTGCAATTCTTATATGCAAACAGGTTTTAAGTACTGAGCTCATATTAGTATTTCCAATTAGTGTAAGCAATTAGTTTAGGAGTCTGGACTTCAAGGGTCTTTGCTTTTTGATTAACTTAAAAGTAATATAGGATCTTCTAGCTCATAGAAAGGAATCGAGCTGGCTTGACTTTCTCCAGAATCTGAGTCATATGGAGCATCAGGGAGCTCTGTAAAACCGTATGCTAGCTGTTCATCTTCCATATCTGATCGAACATAGCAAGAAGAGTTAGAATATTCCTCATCTTCTACACTGTTGAAATCTTGAGGAATATATAACATTCCTGGGTAGTTCCTACTAACCAAGTCACTTGTAGTTTTTAGGGAGATTTTCCTAAATGCCATCAGATGCATATGTGAAAATTTTGAATACTTGAAACGTTTAAAGCCCAGGGACTCTATAGCAATCTTCCAGCTTTTCATCATCATAGCATGGCGGTTCTGATGGGAGGAATCGGGTGTGATGATAAGTAGCAAACCATTCAACACTAACAGTTCATGAGCTTTCTTGCAGCATATCCATCGCTGGTAAGGTGATGGAAAATAAGAAAGAAGGAGAGAGAAAACAACAACATGGAAAAGTTCTCCAGGAAGAGAATCAATGGGGTTTTTCAGCTGCTTCAAAAAGGCATCTATAGCATCCTGTGCAAGCTGGAGTGGCTGCTGAAGCTGTAAGTTCAGGAAGTCACATTTATAGACACTCTGCAGAAAGGGAAAACAAGGCAAATTAAAAACTTCAAAACTACTTTCACCTTATCTAATAGACTATCTCACAGACAGACAGCATTTCTATGTAATTCCAGGTTTGATTATGCACTTTTCCTTGCAAATTATTAAGCTTATACAAATTTACTCAACCAAAACATGAACTCACAAAAATCTCAAACAGCAATTAAGATTAAAAAAAAAACAACAACCAGGCTTTTGCAGTTGAGTTGATTCTGATCCATGGTCACTTAGAATAAAATCACCAACCTTCAGGTTAGTAGTCAACTGCAAAAAGTCTGCACCACCCAGGGACTTAAAAAGCAATTAACATCAGAGAATTTCTAGTCCTTATTTTTAAAAAATGTATTTTGGACCAACAATAAATTTGGAATTAGAAATAATTTTCACATATACATAATTTAAAAAAATCCTAAGAGTTTATTTGAAATTTGGTTGGGGTAAGAGTTTTCAAAAGCAATTCATTTATTTCTAATCTTAAGTCATGTCTATACTAATACATCGTCATTTACAGTTTCAAAAAAAAAAGGCTAATATAGAAACAACTTTAATATAAATAATACCATGAATTAAAGATGATTCAAAGTCAAAAAGTATAATGAAGGAAACATTATAAAATTTGTACAAGAAGAATGATAACACAACTTTTCAAGATCATGAGAAGGTCTTTTAAACCATTTACCTTACCCATCTTAAAAAGTAATTGTAATATTACCTTCATTTTATTAAAAAGTTATTCACTGATTTGACAGGTTTGCTGGTCTTGTAAAAGCCTGGTGGAACCCCTGAGACTACAGCCCCTAGCTGCCCTTCAGGCCTGGAATTGAACTCACTCCTGTGGCTTCCAGCCAAACAAAAGACAGGCATACGAGCTGAACATTTATATTAGGGAGATACACTCCTTGAAGAGATCAACCATGGGAGAATAGAAGCGCTGTGTGTGCACAGGGAGAAAGCCTGGATGGCAGGAGTACATAGGAGGGAAGGATACAGGGAGGAAGTGGAAAGGGATCTGTTGCACTGTGGGAAACTGCAGACAATGTCATGAGACAAAGTGTATGTGAGCTGCTGTATGGAAAATGAATTTGCTCTATAAACTTTCACCAAAATCACAATGAAAATAAAATAATAAAAATACTTACTCACTGGTTTGAAACAATCTACATATTGCATTTAATTAACTTAGTCAAATGGCCATGGGATCAACTACCTAATCTGATGAATATCAGAACTCTATGAAAATGATCCTGAATAAGACTATAAAATTAGATAAAAATTAGTCACTCTTATTATGTATCATCATCATCATAATCTGTCAGTTTGTCATACTGTGGTGGCTTATATGATGCTGTGATACTGGAAACTATGCCACTGGTACTTCAAATATCACCAGAATCACTCATGGTGAACAGTTTTCAGTGAAGCTTCTAGATTCACACAGACTAGGAAGAGGGATCCACTGATCTATTTCTTGAAAAAGTGGCCAGTGGAAAAAAAAAAAAAAAGTAGCTTATAAATAGCAGCAGAACACTGTCTGATATAGTGATAGAAGACGAGACCTTCAGCTTGGAAAGGACTCAAAATACCACTGGGGAAGAGCTGACTCCTCAAAGTCGAGTTGACTTTACTGACATGGATGGAATAAAGCTTTCAGGACCTTCATTTGCTGATGAAGCACGACACAAAATGAAAAGAAACAGCTGCAACCATCCATAAATACTGGAATGCAGACTATATGAAGTATGAATCTAGGAAAACTGAAATAGTAAAAAATGAAATGGAACACATAAAGATAGATACTCTAGGCATTTGTGAACTGATATAGACTGGTTTTGGCCATTCTAAATGGGACAATTATTTGGTCCACTCTGTTGGGAATGACAAATTGGAAAGGAATGGCATTGCATTTGTTGTCTAAAAGAACCTATCTAGATTTAACCTTAAGGACAATACTGTCAGTGATAGGATAATATCCATACCCATACAATGAAGACCAGTTGATGCAACTATTATTTATTAAGCACCAGTCACTAATGCCAAAGATGAAGAAACTGAAGATTTTTACCAACTTCTGTAGTCTGAAACTGATCAAACATACAACCAAGATGCACTGATAATTACTGGAGACTGGAATGCAAAGGCTGAAAACAAAGCAGCAGCTTTGGTAGTTGGAAAATAGGGCCTTGGTGATAGAAATGGTGCTGGAGATCACAAGACAGAATTTACAAGAATGACTTAATCACTGCATATACACTGGATGAAGTAATACAAGAATAAAACTGACTATATTTGTAGAACAAGAGATGATGGAGAAGTTCAAATATCATCCATCAAAGTAAGGCCAGGTGCTGACTGTAGAAAGACCATTAATTGCTAATATGCAAGTTCAAATGAAGCTGAAGAAAAGTAAAACATATCTTTGAGAGCCAAAATATCACCTTGAGTTTATCCCACCTTAATTTAGCAACCATCTCAAGAACACATATGACACACTGAACACTAGGAGCTAAGGACTCGAAGAGTTGTGGGATGTCATCAAGGACATTATACATGAAGAAAGCAAAAGATCACTAAAAAGACAGAAAGAAGGAAAAGACCAATGGATGTCAGAAGAGACTCTGAAGCTTGCTTTTGAATATAGTGTAGCTAAAACAAAAGGAAGAAATGATAAAATAAAAGAGCTGGACAGATCTCAAAAGGAAGCTCCAGAAGACAAACTAAAGAGTTATAATGAAATGTGCAAAGACTTGAAGTTGGAAAATTGTGGTAGTTAAGGCTGTGTGTCAACTTGGCTGGGCCTAGTTGAGTGGTTGGGCAGCTGGTGGTAGTTATTCCCCATGATGAGACTGGCAATCAGCTCCATGGTGGGATCTACCACAAGCAACTGTGTAGCTGCTTTAGGGATGTGGTCTGCTTCCCATATAAGCAGCAGCTGTGGGAATGGTCTCAAGCTTATGGCATGCTTGAACCCTGCATGTAGCCAAGTCGTTGTTCAGCAGCCTGCCATGCTCTGCCAATTTTGGCACTTTCAATGGACTTGAATCAATGGCCTGCTGTATTGTTCAGTAACATTGGGACTGTGCCATTTTATCCGTCAACCTTGGGCTTGTTAGCCTCAGCAGCCAGTAGCTGCCTGAGTGAAGAGATGCCTCTAGCTTCAGTGGGCCAGGAACAAGAGGCAGAGCTGAAGCCCAAGGTCAAGGGACTTTCATACAGCCCCTAGAGTCTGGCACTTTGAACTTGGACTTAAAGCCTCCAAAACTGTAAAAGAATAAACTGTTTGTGTAACAATCCAATTTGTAGTGTATTCTTGTCAGAGTGGCACTAGGTAACCTAAACAAAAATCAAAAGGGAAGAACACATGCTCAGCATTTCTCAAGCTGAAAGAAGTAAAGAAAAAATTCAAGCCTCAACTTGCAATGCTGAAGAATTCTATGGGCAAAATATTGACCAAGGCAGGACACATAAAAAAGATGGAAAGAATACACAGAGTCAGTGTACCAAAAAGAACTAGTCGATGTTCAACCATGTCAGGAGGTAGGATATGATCAAGAACCAGCAGTATTGAAGGAAGAAGTTCAAGCTCCATTGAAGGCACTGGTGAAAAACAAGCCTCCAGGAACTGACAGAGTACGAACTGAGATGTTTCCACAACTGGATACAAAGCTGCAAGTGCTTACTTGTCTATGCCAAGAAATTTGGAAGACAGACTCCTGGCCAACTGATTGGAAGAGATCTTTATCTGTGCCTATTTCAAAGAAAGGTGATATAACAGAATGCAGAAATTATTGAACAATATCATTAATATCACATGCAAGTAAAATTTTGCTGAAGATAATTCAAAAATGGTTGTAGCAGTATATCAACAGGGAATTGCCAAAATATCAAGCTGGATTCAGAGGACTCTGTGGAACGAGCACTATCACTGCTGGTGTCTGAATGATCTTGTTTGAAAGCAGAGACTACAGAAAGATGTTTACCTGTGTTTTTACTGTGCAAGGGCATTAGACTGTGTGGACAACAAATTATGAATAACACTGTGAAGAACAGGAAGGACAGAAGACTTGTGCTTATGCAAAAATGGTACACAGACCAAGAGGCCATTGTTTGAACAGAACAATGGGATATTGCAGGTTTAAAATCAAGAGAGGTGAGCATCAGGGTTGTATCCTTTCACAATATTTATTCAATATGTATTCTGAGTAAATAATTCAAGAAGCTGAACTGTAAGAAGATTGTGGCATCAGGATTGGAGGAAGGCTTATTTATAACCTGCAATATGCAGATGACACAACCTTGCATACTGAAAGTGATAAGGACTTGAAGCAGAATACTCACTGATGAAGATGAAAGGCTACAGCTTTCAGTATGGACTATACCTCAACATAAAACAAAAGTCCTCACAACTGGCGAATAAGCAACATCAAAATAAGTGGAAAAAACAGTGGCATTTTCAAGGATTTCATTTTACTTGGATCCACAATTAACACCCATGAAAACAGCAGTTAAGAAATCAAACAATATATTGTACTGGGCAAATATGCTGCCAACAACCTCTTTACAGCATGGATGTAACTAAGGTGCCCCTGACCCAAGCCATGGAATTTTCAATTGCCTGATATGCATGTGGTGTAGTGCCTAAGGCATCTGACTGCTAGCCAGAAGGCTGGTGGTTCAAACCCACCAGCCACTCCTCGGAAGGAAGGTTACACCATAGTGATACTACCTTGGAAACCCAAGGAGGGGTCGCTAGAAGTCAAAATAGACTCAATGGCAGTGAGTTTGGCTTTTCTGGCTTGGGTATGCATGTGAAAGCTGGACAATGAATAAGGAAAACTGAAGAATAATCGATGTCTCTTAATCATGGGGCTGCAGAGCAGGGACTGCCAGTCGAATGAACAAATCTGTCTTAGAAGTACAGCCAGAATACTTGGCAATGAGGATGGCGAGACTTCATCTCATGTACTTTGTACGTG